TAGGCAACACTGTATTTTGCAGTGTGACATAGTAGCCATGATTTGTGTGTCCTATTCAACGCCCCAGAAACACCAATGTTGCCTGCTGAGCAGTTGATTGAGCATGATCATTAGACATCAGCGCATTGAACCATTAATAACTTTTGATCCTTGCATTTAATTAAAAAGTGGTCTTGAGCAAAGTTGTAGCTGGGAAAAGTTCCTACAAGTACAGTTGAAAACTTTTGAAGCAGACCGATATGGTGAATTATTAGATAGATATGAACAAAAATCTTGGTTTTACCATAGTAATTCCCATACAAACTTCAAATGGTTTGTGCCATCTCAGTTCCTCACCAAATGGGTTTAAATTTTGAGAGGTTAGTCAGGATCCGATTTGGAATCGGTTAAGTATTGTGGAGCGAAAATTTCAAATTTTGCATCACTCTATTGAACATGCTTCCACTTGCAGTTTTCCGTTGCGTTTTGTATTTTAGCCACACTATTGATCACGAAAGTAGTCCATGTCGAAGGTATTGCCTTCAGCCACTGCATAACACAGGTAGAATCCACCCAGAAGAACTCTTCTGCGGTCGATTTTTAATGCAATCAGAACCTTCTCCTTCAACCACAGACAAACAGACGTAAAACTTTGAATTTTTTTTTCTTGAAAACATAGCATCTCAAAACATAGGTCCTCAGTAGCGACATCTCTCTGGCTTCTCGCGGAAAACAAGCTTGCTCGCTAACTCGCAAACAATATTGCATAAAAGTTCTATAGAATGTATAGAAACGTCAAGGTGATCCGATGCCAGCGCTGCGGCGAATAGTTCGCGGAACTGATAATATTCAAATCAACCGTTAAATGCGTGAACGAAGATACACAATGAAGTGTTACGTCTGTTTGTCTGTGCTTCAACTGTGCCGCTAATAGGGCTCCACAAAGCTTCAACCTTCGAATGGATTGTGATTTTAGTGGGGCGACCTTGGATTTTGATGTAAGTAACGCAATAAACTGTAATTGTGTTGTGTGCTGAATTGGATCCCATTACTCACCGCGTTGGAAGAAACCCAAAGAAATAAGGGCAATCAGAATCATAAGGAAGAAACTTCGGCGCCCAATCTAATTTCAACCAAGAAACCAATCCTGGAAGGAAGAACCAGTTCCGAGGTGAAACATTTTGGTCCTGCGAACCGGATATGAACCAGTGACCTATGGACTAAGGATTCCTTTAATATTTGCAGTATCTCTGAATACCCTCTGAGGGTCATCTTTGAACTCTTTCTGGTATTCCATTTTTATTTGCTACATAATACTCTTGAAAATCGTCTGCATAACATTGAATGAATTCCCTTTGAACACTCATTTGAATTTTCTAAAAATTATCGTCGGAATATGCTTGCAATTACCTTGAAAGAAATCCCTCCCCTTGGCTAGTTTTTTAACCTGGACGTTGGTGGGCGGGCCTAATCTTATGCTTCATAGTGGAGCGTTGGAGACGGTTGGTTTAGGTCCGGCATCGTTGGCTCATGCCGTGACAGAATAGCGTCATGAGCATGCGATGAGGATTACTGAGCTTCCCCTCTCTGATGAACCATTGCATAAGAGAACCAAAGTTCTAGCCTGAAGTGATAGTATCACACTTGTTACTCCTTTATTTGAAAGCCGCGTTGCAGTGCTCCTTCTACTTGCGTGACCGCTTTCGTTGTTGTTTTCATTGAGGTATTACTCAGGGAACAATGTTAAACACCATTTTTGCACATGGTATTGCAACTAATCTTATATGTGCTTCATTTTGATTTGGGATAAGTGTTTGAACTATGGCTCGGGATTTCCACTGTGGCGTGCTTCTATTGTGACATAACCATACGTATTTTTGTGGTGCGACATAGTGGAAACGTGTGAGCGTAGTTGAAGCATATACCCTATGTAATTTAAAAATCAGCTAGGAAACTAACTTCAAAGTGAAGCATTTCAGTCACTTGAAGGTGTCACCTGGGACGAACTAATATATATTAAATATAGGCCAAAGTCAAAAACAACTTGAAACACGTTAAATTCTAGATTACATTCACAAGTGCAGGTACTTTATAAAGCATTGTAGGTAGATTAGAGATTTCAATTATTTATTAAATTAGACTAGAGATATCATAATCATTAAACGAACTTAAATAAGAAAATTTAGACAGCCTAGTAGCATTAAGTGGATTAACAGAAGAGTTAGGATGCGGAGGGTCCGCTTAGGGAGGCCACTAGCCTTTAAAGCAACTGGCAACTAGCCTTTTCATGTATTGTCTGTTTATTTTGATTATTGCATTACAATATCAATTTGGTATATATGTGAAAGGATGAATCAGTGGGAGATGGATTTTCGGTTTCTTTACATTTAGCATCACTATGCATCATTTCACCGGCCTCTTCAATCCCGTCCTTTTCACATGGCGTTCAAGTGGTCCGCATAGACTATTCAGCCATTACCCGTCCTTTATCCTCGGCTTTGGGTTGACTTGCGCTCCCATTGCCCCACCAAACGCTGCAAAATGAAAATGAAATGAAAATGAAATTACCTTGAAAGAAATCCTCTTGAATTATTCTCAGAATTTCTTCCCTTGGAATTCTACTCACTTTGTAAGTTTCCTAAGAATTCGCTTGCAGTGAAGTAATAAATTCCTTATATTTATCATTTCAAATTATTTGGCATTCATGCCAGAACTCTCGTGTTATTCTTTTCCGAGTTCTATTGAGGATCTCTTGGAATAGTTTTCAGATTTAATTGTAATCCTCCTTTTAATATACTCCCCTGAAAATCTTTGAAATTATCCTCTGAATTCCTTTGGCATTCAAATTTCATTGACGCCTTCAGAATTTCTCAGGAATTAACTTAAGAAATTCCCATGGATTTTCGTTAAAAATTCCTTCGAATCCCATTCAGGGTGAACATGAAATTCTACTCCGAACTACCTTGGTATTCAGATTTCACATAGAATCCGGAGTTCCTCAGGACTACCTGAAAAGCAGATTACACTTGATGTTTGTCTCACAGTTCTTCCCAGAACTCCCTTGGATTGAGTTCCTTAGAAGTTATCATCCAATTTCATGAGCTTTGAAAATTATGCAAGGTTCTTAATCTAGATGTTTTTCAATTCTGTGATCTTGGAAAAAACCTAGAAAAATACTTAATATCGAACATAATGAATTTGCGTCTTCGTTCAAGGCTCTTGAACATTTCTCCAAATGTGATTATTTTTAAGCCCAGGATTTCAAAAACAATTTAGACGAATATCCATATTTCAGAACCTAAATAAAGCAATTCAAACCTCTGAGTTTTTTAAATTTATTTTCCTTCTTAAGATAAATCCGTTCAGGATCTTTTAAGTTCAATGAGCGAAATAAATTAACGGGGAAAATTAAATGTTTGCAAAGTATAATGTATTATGTTATTTTAAAAAAATCCGTGGTAAAAGAATTTGAAAATTTAATGAGTAATGATGACATACTCAATGAGATCGATCCAAATTTGAGTTCGGGTTTTAACTTTTAATCGCAAAAAGCTGAGTAAATTTTCCAGATTTTTCCAGGTAAAAACTCCCGAATATGAGAAAAGTCGAGATTAGTCTATTGGTACTACTTCTAGACTGAGTAAAATTGTCGTCAATTTTCCTCATTTTCCGGCAGGGTTTCCACACTTTTTGCGATTTATGAGTAAACTAAACTCAAATTTGGGTCGATCTCATTGGCCGTGCTGAGGGTTTTCCAGGTAATAGACACCCGGCCATGAACCATATACGTTTGCATGCGCTACTGTGACCAAATTACAGGAAATGTATTGAATCATCATAATAAATACGTAGGGCCCTCTTAAGGTCACGTTATATAAATAAGAATGTTGGAAAGCCTCTCAGTTTCTAAAACTTGACATCGATTGTATCAACGTTTATGTTTTCCGTTCGGTTTAGCTGCGTAGATCGCATCTTTCCCCACCGCACGCAAAACGCTAGAGTCTATCGATGTTCCATCGCAAATACGACCTCGTTAACAAGTCTCTTTCAAGATAACGTCTCTCACTCATTCAGTTGTTACAGATTCAACAAAAAAAATCACTCTTACGTCAATGAAACATTTGCCGAACACCCACCGCAGCTCACAAAACGAACAATTCCTCCAAATGCCGGTTGTGTTATTCTTAGCTCTCATCAATATGCAAACCTTCGAAACAATTCCCAATCCATCAGAAATCATTCTCCGGCTCGTCTCAAATATTCATATGGTGGCGAAAAAATTTCCTCTCCTGTCAGCGTGAGCAAGTTCTTCGTTTTCCCTCGCCACCGGAAAAACTGACACGCATGGGGTGCTGAGGATGTGGCGGAACCAAACCAACGCTTCGTTTTCTATTCTCATCGCCACTTTCCCCCTCCGGTGGAGCCACATTAGCACCAGCAGTGCATTGCTCACAAGTGCGGAAGTGCTAATAAAAGTGCGCTTTTACGCTAAATCGTGTTGGCTGTCTTCCGCGCTCTTACTCATTGGCTCATAGCAAAAAAGTGCGCACAAGACACCCAGACGATAAAGTGTCAAAGTGCACTCTTGTTAGCAATTCCGCACTGTTGAGGAGTCCAGTTTCAAGTGCAAAATACAATATCCAGCCGAAAGTGACAAAACAACACTCAACAACAACAACAGGTGGTTGGTGGTAGCCAACGACGATAGGACGACCAACCGACGGAGGCTTTTCTCTCACGTGCCTCGTAAGCCATTGTAGGCCAACTAGGAACACCACCTTCCATTATCGGGATGCGCTGATCCGTAAATCCTATTGCCGGTCAACAATGGGACTTAATCCAGACCACCTTCATGAGCGCATACATCTGTACACTTTCGTACGGATGGAAAACAGGGAAATCATCTCACACTTTACAGTCCCAACAACCCACATTTTTAATTGGAAAAACAGCCGACGGTCAAAAGCAGCGGATCACGGACCGATTTCCCATACTAATGCAGTGCACAAAAAAATATTCACCTGGAATTTAAGTCGGCTTTCCGGGAAATCAGTTTGTTCTTGTTATGAAAATGTACTAAACTTCTTCACTCTTCACTCAATTTCTTCAACAGTCTTTCTAGTACGTTGATTCACTTTGCAGTCCTTTTGTTTACTGTTTACTTCACTTTGTTGTCTTTGCTTTCACTTAGTTGCGTGTTTTTTTAATTATCCTTTTAAAAATTTCTTCCTAAAATGTTGCTTTCTTCTTCAAGCAAGAACTTCCAGTAATTCCGAGTTAGAATATGCTGTGTGCGAGTGCGAACCACTTGGCGCCAATAATCGTGTCGTGTTGGGTTCAGGAGCACTAATGAAGACCTGTTGCTCCTATCGCCGCTTTTATAGAGTTTACGAGAATGGGCAGATGAATGGGAAGCTGCCTCTACCGTACGATGTACCACCCCATAGTATGCTGGTATTTACGACGAAACGAACGATGAAAAAGCTCATGCTGTAAAAGTTCCGCCGATCGGTTCGGTTGGTCGTTCGTTCGTTCGTCGGTTCAGTCGTCCCGAGCACTGCGACGAGATGGGTTGCGTTTAACGTTCCGAGTAGGTGTTGCGAGGAAGTTGCAACTTGCAAACGGTTCTAATTTCTATAACTTAAATTACCTGGCAAATTGTAACGCATTCAGCAAAGTTGCTCCTTTGCTGCCAAAAATAATCTTTCGCATAGGTGTGAACCCACGTCATCGAACAACGGTCGAAACAATGAACAACCCTCTTATCGCGCTGCAAAAGTTTCCAGCGATAAATTCAAGCAAAAATGTCAAAAATTTAAATCGAGCAGAGCCTGAGACAAGGGCAGAAATCAGCATGCCTTGGTATATTTGCCTTCAACACTTCGCCTCCATTAGGAGGCCATAGTTGATTCTTTTTCAGTTTCACCGGCACCATTGATTACTCCAGTGTGTACATTATCTCAATTTATTAATACTCAAAACCACAAAGAAAAAAACGTGTGTAATCTGTGAGCCGTATTCAGAACACGCAGAGCTATTTGTGCGCAAGACTATCTAATCAATACTGTAAAACGTGCTTAATGCTGTCCCGAAATAGAATCAATTCGATTAATGCATAGCTCGCGAATCAATGATTGTTTTTTTTTTATTATTTATTATAGAGCAGCGTTTCTCCATCTATGGGTTGTCGGCTGTATTCGGAAAACTTTCAAGAAATTTCACCACCGTTTTGTAGCAGCTGATTGACGCAGCTCAAACTGTAAATTTAATATTCGAATTAGTGTTTTACGATGTACAAATTTAACACTCTACTTACAGAAGATAGTTTCTTCTCTACACCTCTTGCTACGAGCGATTTGCGGTGATTTATCGATCTCAAAACGTTTCTTCATTAATCTGAGTTCAATCATGGATAATTTGATTTTCATATAATAATATCAATTTAGGTTTAGAATTACTTACGATACTAGTCTGGACTTTTATCCACAATTCTAGTCACTTGATCTAAGAAATTTTAGTATATTAGATTTAGTTTTGTGTACTAGTGCTTGCCAACCTAGATATAAGATGTTGTTTTCAGTTCATTATTTCTACTAGTTGCATGATCAAATTTACCGTATCCAATTGAACACACTTTCTGATACAATTAAATGCACTTTTAGATACCTTAAAACTAGTTTTGATTATTTTTTCAACCGGAATATGAACTCGCATATAAACGCAATCTGGAATTTTCCGCACTAATGAATGACTTTGTTTTTGAATACATTCCTCCAATTCCATTCTACCGTTTACCTGACAGCGACGTAGCATGCTCGCTAGAATGGTATTTGGCCCAAACCGTGTTCCCAGTTTTCTTCACACCCCAGCCCGTAACTCCGGTTCCGCTCCACCGGAAGTCCCAGATTTACCAGGAATCTCTATCACTGCCAGGTTTGCCACTGCTCTCCTGAATACGCCTCTGTTTGTGGAGGGAGGTAGCTCATCGATTCTTCCGGTTCGCCTCCTAGCATCGTGCTATAAGGTACCAGGCGATAACCAGGGTAGTTGATCGATAGCTCGATGACGTCATTTCGTTGGCGTCTGCAATGGGAAAATCTCATAGCAGGCGTTGACGATGGGACGTTGTCGAGTTGTTGAATAGCAACTATCGTGGTAACTCACCGATTACCTGTCGATCTGCCAAATTTGGAAAGACGTCTGCATTGAATTGTCTCATATAATAATATTCCGCCCAGTATATCACAAGAAATTGCGAGTAGCTGAGTGGAATGGAGATAAGTTAAGCATTGGGTACAGGACCAGGGTGGTGCCAGAAGATGAGCGCAATAGAATCATCAAGTTGCCATAAGGCACGGAATGAGACTATTGCATGGCTGGGTAGTCAAAGTCTTCCATTCGTTAGTCATTTCAGGTGGATTAGAACAGGTTTAGGTTTAGGGTGGGCGTTGGCCAGATTTGGATTTTTCAGATATAATCCTAAATAGGACCTAGATTATTTAATACACTAGTAACCTCAACGTCTGTCACAATGTTTCATTGTGATTAATCAACACTCAATGGGTAAAACATCAAATTTGCGGTAAAATTGAAAAAAAAGGGAACTTGGAGTGTAGAGCGCACTGCCCACTGGACGATTCTGAAGCCTGGCCAAGTGAGTGGGTTACAGGTTTATTTGATTGTACGTCATTTCCAAGTTATATATAAATACATTCGTACCATTGGCATTTTGTATTTGTATTTAAGACAGAGATAGGATGTGGAGGGCCCGCTTAGGGGGAGCGTAACCCATGTTATGACTTCCATTTATTAAATAGTTCAGATAGGCTGGCAATGATAGGTTCATGGTGAGAAAATGTACCATATGGTGCCCGTTCACTGATCAAAATTAGATTCAAATCGTCAGGCCCTGCCCTGGAATAAGGGGATTGACCGAGGGGGGCGACTCTATCTACGATGCATGAAAATTTGTGTTTTGATGTGGTTAGCTGCGCGCACGCTGAGTAGATAGAAAGAAGATTGATGACGATTCTGAAGATTTTCTTCAAAAAGATTATGTGCGGTGCAAGTATATTCGAGAAATGAAAGAAGATTTTTCGAATATTGATTCGCTAATGTGAGATTTGTTGAGTATCTAGCATTGAGATGTAGATGTGTCGCCCCCCTCGGGATTGCCGATGATTTGTCAAGTTTCATTTTGAATTTGCATATAACTGTAAGTTTAGGTTTGCTTTTGTAATTGTAAGATAGATAGTTTGCCTCAATTGAAACATTGAGTTGTATAAACTTGACGAATCATACCTCTGAAATAGTAGTAGTTACAGTGCCGCATGATCTAACAACCACTGCCTGCAACTAATATTGGAGGAGCCGGCAGGGTTGATTACGGATCAAAACTAACATAATTCTAACACTGAAATGATCCCAAAACTAACGCTCATTCATTGCACTTTGAGTCTTAAAGTAGTTTTATTTATTTGAATATATGAATTATCGCTGAAAATATGAATTATCGCGTATTTCTGTTGTTCATTACATACCAAGTGAAATTCGAGAACGTAATTTCATTTGAATAGCTTGTTTAACCAGGTCTTAAACAATCGTCACGTCAATCATAGCTTGTTATGATTGCCTGAACCATGCGTAAAGAGAAAATCGAAACATTTAACGTCGCGTGAAAATGGATCTTAATGAAGGCCTCTTTTGTAGCTTTTAGCTCAAGGATTTCAAAGATCGTCGATTGCAGTGGCAAGCTTACTGAGCAGAAAAACGCGGTCCCAGGTCATTTCATATTAAAAATGTATGGTATGGCTTGTTTATCGTGTATTTTGTAAAACTTTTCGTTGTCGTCGGTGCCGTACTGAGTAACGCTATCATGTGATATGAAGGACTCGGTGGCCTTAGAACAACCGGTTTTGCTTACTGAGCAGAACATCATGAGTCTAATCTCAAGCCCATCCACATTCAAGATTCGTCTATCGTTTTATTTGTTAACATGACTACATGGTAATAACAGCAACTCGATGATTAAAAAGGAGCTCGTCTGCCTAGTGGCAAACGTTTTTGCTTACTGAGCAGAATACCGTGGGTTCAATCCCAAGCTCCTACGCGTTATATGATTGTTAGGACATCAATCCAGCTTATCGTTTACCAAAACGAACCCTGCTGCAAACCCAACCCTATTACCCAATATCCCAGTGATTCCTCGTGGAAGTGCAGAGGTGTTCTCGGCTTCCATCAAAGCGAGTGTCACGTCAACACATTCCTACCCCTTCCTTTCTTGATCTGTGTTCTGCCTAGTTTGAGATCACCAGTTTTTACACATTGAGGATGATTGCTAGTCCCAAGCATCGTCTATTGGTTCTCTGTGTAATTACAGCTGGTCTGGCAATAACAGAGTAGCAACCGTGGGCGGTCAATCATGCTCATGCTCTCCTGAATACGCCTCTGTTCGTCTTCACCTTGGCTTGCCGGATCTTACCATCTGCAGCCTCAACGACCTACTATTCCGCGGACCCAGTTCTTCCGCTGTGCACCATCTACCAGGAATACCAAATCTCCTACACAGAAAAAAATTCTGAATTTTTACTAATGCGTAAAATCTCCCTTCGTTTAATTTTGAGCTATACTTGGCATAAACAGTGAAATCGTTTAAAGCTTGCATACAATATTGCTAATTTATACGATATTACGCCTAAATCTACACAAAATAACGCGTAAATTTATGCCAAATCTAGCGTTAATTGTATGTGCGCTATATCTCGCAGAAATTTACATGAATTTTTAGAACGGTGTACTTGCAATGGTCTTCGCTCTTCAAACCACTTCATTCTGCGATTGATCCTGGGCAGGTATTCCTTACATCTTATCGACCAAGTACTGCGACCACTTATAGACATCTCTCAGTTCTTCTACCAGCTCGACTTCATCATCGACCATCTGATCCGCATCCTTGGTAGCCCCGCGCAAGGAAATTGTTCTTTGTAATAGCTTCAGTCTCCTCTGAATCTTGTGGTAGATAAGTCAACGGACGAGAATTTACCATGTCTTCCGCCTCGGACAATGTGGTCAGGAGTATTTCATCCGTCAGCTTCCTGCCGTCATCCAATGCCCTCATCGCCTCCTTCACTGATCGCACCATTCTTTCCCAGCTTCCGCCCATGTGAGGTGTTCCGGGAGGGATAAAGTGCCACTTGATTGCCGCACTGATCTTCTGCTTCGCTTTGGACATCTCGTTTCTTGCACCCTTGAAATTGGTTCCGTTGTCCGAAAAGAATTCGTCCAGTGACCCTCGCTTGCAGATGAATTTCCTTGTCGCCATCAGACAACCTTGCGTAGTCAAGCTATCACCTCTTCGACGTCCGACCAACAC